TGGGCCTTAGGCTATTTTGGGTTTTGGACCATGATTAGTTAGGCCCAGTAAGGGAAAGGTAAAATTGCCTTTTACCCTAGGAGTCAGGATTTAGATTCTCAGTTATGGTTTATGGCCTAATTGTTGATTAGGGTTTTATTATTTGTGTTTTAGTGCAGGGGTTTTCCGTTCAACAGCCCGAGTGTTATTTATTTATCAGCGGATCAAGGTGAGTTCCTTCACTGTACTCGTGGGTCGAAGGCACCCATGCCGGCTCACTGGATTATGTGTGTAGGATGATAATTCTCTTTGTGACACTTACTGTTATGCATGTATGTGCTTTTTGTCTTTGTGACTCTTATTGATATGATTGTATGCTTGGCTGTAGGGGTGAAATAGACCCGATACCGGTTGAAAGAGACCGAAGGGGGTGAAATAGACCCAATACTGGTTGAAAGAGACCGAAGGGGTGAAATAGACCCAATTATGTTTTGACTGTTATTTATGTATGGTATGGGGGTATTTTGGGGAAACTCACTAAGATTTGTGCTTATAGTTTTATGTTTATGGTTTTAGGTACTTCCGGTTCGAAAGGGAAGGGTCCGACATGATCGCACCACATCCACCTATGTTTTCCGCACTTTTATGATTTTGGGAATTGTACTCTGATGACTATTTTACCATGGCATACTTTTGGATGGGTTGATATGAATATTTGATGGTTTGGGTTGAATTAAAAATGAATTTTTACCTATGATTTTTGGGATGTTACACATCTACCCTCGAAAACGAAAATAAAAAAGAAAATCACAAATCTCTTTTGCAACCAAAGACCTTCGTACTTGAGCTCCCGTGCGTACCACCTTGTTTGGATGATGAGGACCCAAACCAACACCCCTCTCTTGGTTCACACCCAATGAACTTAAAAGAGTAGAATCAAAATAACTAAGAGGGGATGAAATATAGTAGAGTTCTTCCACAATGAGGGAGAAAGAAGAGGCGAAACTTCAAGCCAAGAATGCGCAAGGAAGAATGAATCTCTAATGCCCTATTTATAGCATTAGATACCTTCCAGGGTTTTATCCTCAAACCCATGTGGGATGGATAACCCTAAGAACAAAATTCCTCATATCCAAAGGGAATTTTCGTTTACCACCCTTCTTCCTAGGGTTCTGCAATATTCTTGATTAATCAGCTATTGATTAATTGATATTCAACCATTCTATTATTTAAACTGTTAATTAATTTCCAAATTGTTTTCTAATTAGTTTCTAATTAATTATTAAACCATAATAATTAATAAACTAATTTCCCTTTGTTAATTCTATTTAATTTGAGTCTCGAGGGCAACTCACGAGGACCTTATTATTATTAAAAATATTACAAATAGTTAATAATATTGAATATACTTTCCAACCTAATTAAACATTTTTTAGTGTATAAATATTATATATGTATACATGGAAGAAAAAAAATCATACTTAATATAAAAGCGCAAAATAATTATACAATGTTTTTTTGCGAATTTTATTTTAAAAGTAATATGGAAATATATTATAATAGGTAACAAAGGTATATATAGAAAAAAAATGCTTAAAATTAAGTTCCCATTTTAGCCCCAAAAAAGTGATTGTTATGATAAAACCGTATATTTTTCTTTGAAAAACTTGTGGGTCTTTCTATAGATTTTTTTAAACTTTAATAGTCTTTTAATAGTCATATGTATACATATGTTATAGTTTGTTGATATTTTTTGTACTAAACAAAATTAATAGTTTTTTGTATAATTTTGAAACTTTGTTACCATTCTAAATCATTTTTTTCGCAAACAATTTGTCAACTCAGCTACTAACCTACTATAGTCGGTGATATAAATGTATTTTTTGAAAAAAAAATGACAATTTTAGTTATCGTCTATGTACAAATGTTGTTGTATTTTTTTTTTTTTTTTTTTTTTGGTACTAAACAAAGTTCAATAGTATTTTTTATGTACAATTTTGAAACTTTGTTACCCTCCTAAGTCATCTTTTTGCAAACAATTTGTCAACTTAGCCATTAACCTACTATTAATGTTGTAGAACTCGTTACTCGGTACCTGTTCGGCCGATTGCCGAGTAACGATTACTCGAGAGTACTCAAGGAGTACTCAGATTCGGTAATTCATGTAGAAATATTTCTAGGGAAATTATATATGTTAAAATCATAAGTTAAAATCATAAGTTAATTGAAATATATCACTACAAGAAAAATCCTAAATAGCTACAGAAAGTTGCTACGGAATCAAAATCCGTAGTTATTCTACTACGGAATATACTACGGAATGACTTATTGTAGCTATTTTGCTACGAAATTAGCTACAGAATTGCAATCCGTAGCTAAATCCTGAATAGCTACGGAGAGTTACTATGGAATCAAAATTTGTAGCTATTCTACAACGGAATATGCTACAGAATGGCTACCCGTAGCTATTTTGCTACGGAAATGGCTACGAAATTGCATTTTTGTAGCTAAATCTTGAATCGCTACCGAAAGTTGCTACGAAATCAAAATTTATAGCTATTTTATTACGAAATATGCTACGGAGTTATTGGTCGTAGCTAGTCCGCTACGGAACTTGTTACAGAGTCTATATATGTAGCTAGTTGGCTACTAATCGGCTACAAAATCAAAATACGTAGCTAGTTGGCTACGGAATTGAAATTCATAACTATTTTTTGCTACAAAAATTTGCTACACAATAAAATTTTGTAGCTAATCTACTATGGAACTTGTTACCAAAAGCTTGATCGTATGTATTTTTGAATAAAATTTGTTTTTGAATTTGCAAAACAGTTACGGAATCAAAATTTGTTGATGTTTGGCAACGGAATATTCCGTAGTTAAGTAGTTACGGAATATTTATCCGTAGCACAATATAGAAATTTCTATAACCTACTATTATAAAAATACACCATCATTCTTAAAAACTCAATAGTAAAAATAAATTATTATTTTTCGTTAAGTTATTATTTTAATTATAATCCAATTTTTACTATTTAACAATTTTTAGATATAACTAATTACTAAACCACGTAAGAATTTATATATGCATATATATCTCGAACAATAACTTAATCATCTAATTTTTTTTTTCAATAATTTTTAAATGTCGACAAAAAATAAAAAGAAAATTCAAACTAATCGTCGACGTCCAAAGCCGATAAAACTATGTTGATAACATAAACTAAGAACTTTACTTATAAAAAAAATAAAAAATATATAAAAAATAAAAATAAATAAAACTTGGAGATAACATACATCACGTATTCAAGTGTATTGTGTATATACTTTGAGGGAATTTAAGGAAACCAACATAAAATTACCCTCAGTTCACAGTTTCCCCAAATTCATCGTTCATTCCCCCTCCCCACTTCATTACGCCATTAGCGATCGGAAATTACTCTGCGTGCTCCGCCCCCAAATTATCGATAAGATTTTACTCTGCGTCCTCTTCTATGTAGGAGCATCTCTGATCAGTCTTCTTATCTGCTCTGTCGTGTGCGCCTGATCGATCAATCGCTAGGTATGCTCCTCGATTTTTCTCTATTCTGGTAACAATATCATAAGTTTAGTTGATTATAGTTGATTCTAGTCTCGTCTTTCTCTATCTTACATAATCAAAACTTTGGATATAAAAGTTAATGTGCTATAGGAAAAGTTATATTGAAGTTCATGTTTAGTGATTCCAATATTATATGTGTAGTTGATTACAGTTGATTCAGACGACTTCTGTGATTATCTAAGCTTAGTTAGATGTTTCTAGGGTTGAATTTCATTTGTACATACACAAAGCGTGTTGTGCTTTGACAATAAAATCCAAACGGGAGCACCAACATATAGGTCTTCTTCAATTCTTTCCATGAATCATCAAAAAAAATTTGCACTATTGACAACAAATTCACTTCTTCTTCTTCTTCTTCTTCGTCTTCTTCTCTTTGATTTTGTTACCTTTATCCTTGTGAGATTGTATCTTGCCCTAATTCATTTTCATCAAAAAAAAATCTTGCATCAATTGTTTGTTAAACCTGTAAAAGAAACAAGAGTTCCTCAGACTCTGGACTGGAAAACACAAGTAAAGCTTGCATAAGGAAAAAAATGTGATTCTTTAATTTCAACATTCATGGTTCTCTGTTTGTACTCATGTTTTATGAGTTTGGCTGTTAATCAGTGGCTAGTATTTTATTCACTCTTCTTTTAGTTTGATTTTTGAGATAAAAAGAAAACCTTTTGTGAGAAATCAAAATGATTTTACACCAAACTTAATTTAGGCATCATATTTTTCAAAATTTAAATTTAATTTCAGTTTTAGTGTGATTTACCATACATAGTGACTAGTATTTGACTATATAGATTTTGAATCCATACATTCATAACAACCCCACAATAAAGACAACTAGATTTACTAGTGATGCTATATTCTTATTTTCTCGTATGCATACTGAGGGATCATTTGGAGTGTTCTGATGTAACCTGATGAAGATAAAAAAAAATATAACATAACTTTTTGTTTCCAAAACTAACAAACCATTAATAAACTAGTTTACTTATGCACATATTTATTTAGTTTTTTCTTAACTTACTTAGCCAAAAAAAGATTATGACGAGGTAGTTTGTATTTTTAATAAATGTTTAACTTTTTACTATATGTTTCATTTTTGTAGGTTGGGGCTTTATTCGAACTAATAAAAGGGCTCATTAAAGATTTAAATGACGATGATAATGACAAGGTTAAATAAGTCAATTCATGTTTTCACTTATATCAATATGTGTATTAATAGATGTTTTGTATGATGACATTTTTAATGGTTTATATTTTAAATCATATTCCTTTTTTTTTCTTTTTGGCTTGTGTAGATGGATGAGGTAGACTTTAAGGAAAAGCAAAATGCTATTAATGGATGACCTAGTTTTGATGTTGGAAGGAGTGTTTAGCAGAATCTGTAGCATAGGATACCCTCAAATGGTTTGCAACTCTTATAGCCATGGCAGGATACCTTAACAAATATGGTCTTATCTCCTGCTTCAATCAAACTGTTGTCAAGGTATGATGTTCGCTTTAATTATAACAAATATGGTCTCATGTTATTGGGTTAATATCTTTGTTGCAGGTTGTTGGTGGGCTAGGTCTTGTAAAGGGTATGATGTACCCAAAGACTCTTTATGCCAACTAAACGTGGAAGTGAATGTGGGTTTACCCCCTGATGCAATATACACCATTGTCATTGATATAGACAATAAGAGAGTCTTCAAGAACATTCAAGAAGTTTTATCCATAAAGGTTTTGTTTGATGAAGGTTCAAGGCAAGTTGTTAAACTTGACAAGCTGCTATATGTTGTTATTATCTATACAATATACACTATGCTTATACTTTTTTTTGTGATTCTTAGATGAAATTCAAGCAAGCGAGACCATGATTTATGAAAAGATTTGAAGGAAACAGAAGGATTGCATCAAAGGCGACTTTAGAGCAACTTACTGAACCTGCAATTTATATCAAAGAAAGATGGGCGTTAAAAAGACAAAGAACATGCAAATCAATGTAAAGAAAAATTGTTTTTTGAGGTATGCAATTTTGTCTTATGGTTATTGTTACTTATGACATTATTTTTTAATGCACCATCTGCATATGCTAGTTGATGTTAATATTTAACTTATAGTTATCTGATCCAGTGCTCAAAAATCTTAACGTATAGTCATGACTAACTTGCAAAAAATAGCAATGTACTTTCATTTATTTCGTGTATTATAATTTATTTCATCATACTCTCACTTCTATCTACTACAACATCCTATTTCAAAATTTACTTTCTTATTAAAACATTATACTTTAAAATTTTGATACTACTGTAATTCCATTTTTTTTCTTTTCAGGATAATGTACTTTGAAAATACATTGTTATTTCTTGCATTTAAACGTATTTGGCCATTTTCCATTTATATATGTGTATTATATTATCATACTTTGATTTTACATTCAATTTTTTTCTTATTGAGACATTGCACTTTGGAAAATCTACCTAATTATAGTAGGAAAAACTATTTTGTAATTGTATGACATCACTATAAGTTTTTTTTATAACACAAGATGGTTTCTTGCATCAGACAATTGAGGTTTTGTCAATGGCTCTAGTACCCGATCTTGCATAAAGGTATGTGATGTAAATTTCAATATTTTTTGACTTTGGTATTATTATTTTTATTGTTGTTGTTATTTTATATTGTCTAATCTGCACTACCGTTGTAGGCTGTAAATGTCTGTTCTTTTCACACAAGCATAAATATTATACGAAGAATAAATTTTGGTAAATTTGAAATTTTATCATATTCAAGATTTTTGGTGTCAATGCAGTTCCATTTATTTGCTTGATATAACATTGCACTTTCAAGTTTTTCTTATTAGAACATTCTACTTTGAAAAAGCTACCAAATAATATCAATGAAAATTAATTTGTATACAATTGGGTAGCTTTTTACATGTTGTAGTAAGATGAAATAAAATAGGATGATATAATAAAGAAATAAATGAAATTAGGTGCTATGTCTTAAGCCTTGTTATCTTATATCTTATTTTACTATTTGTATTGGTTTTAACAGGATTCAAGAGCGCTATATTTGATTATAAGGACACTTCAAAGAATGCACACCTTTGGGATGGAAAACAAGGATACCTAACATTATGACGCAATATCAATAATAAGATCATTATGCAGGTTCAGTTTTTTTAATACCTCTTATAATAGAAAATCAAGTGTTATAAATATAAGTATATAATAACTATTCAGTTGTTTTCAACTTTATTTCAAATCCTTTTAGCATCATGTAACAGCTTGGAAAGAGAAAAAAACCACACTAACATTCGATTTGATGGTTCTCAAAAGGTGATTCATTTTGTTTCTTGTGTACATGCTAATAGTATGTCAAATAAAAGAGTTAATTAGATTGTTGTTTTTATTTTGTGTTTATTTTCAGATTTTATATTTCTAGTTGGTCAAAAACTAGGGAAAGTCTCAAAGCAAAACAAAATGGGATTTTATACAACAAATTGAATTTTAATCAAGTTGATTGTAAATTTGATTTTGCAGGTTTTGCCATTTTGGTTGAGCATATGTGGCTGTTTGTGTGTACGTGGCGGTTTAAATCTAAATTGTTTGGTTGTATTTGTAGTTAGTATCAGTTTTGATGAATAGACAACCGTATAGAATAATTTTTGATGATATAATATATCTATAAAATTAATGTAACTATTAAATTTATATTTACTATATTTTTATTTATTTTTATGAATATTATAATTGGAAAATTGGATTTTGTTGAATATTTTTATCAATCTGAATTTGCTTTGAAACATATTGCCACAGAACAAATTGTTGTTGAACAAATGGCTACAAAATTTGCTACGCAACAGACGGCTACGGAAGTTGCTACGTAACATACGGCTACGAAACTTGCTACGGAATACACGGCTACGGAATTTGCTACGGAGTAGACGGCTACGAAATTTGCTACAGAGCAGACGGCTACATAATTTGCTACGAAACAGACAACTACGCAATTTGCTACGGGACTCAAATTGCAATGAAATAGATGTCGTAGAAACTGTCATAGCGAAATTGCTACGGAAATATAATTCCATAGCTAAACAGTTTGCTACGAGAAATAAAGCTACAAAGTCTAATTGATAAGTTGTGTAGCAAATTCCGTAGTTATTTAGCTTTAGCTACGGAATTTCAACTTTTTGCTATGGAATTTTTCCGTAGCTAAATTGAAATTTTCTTATAGTGTATAACAAATTTAGATACACATGTAAACACACAAAAATTGAAAAACACACAATGGTCACACTTCGTGAATAATTATTGAAAATTTAAGATATATGTGTAGTAATAATCACATGTCTGTGTTGAATAATAAATCATTAAGTAAATTATGCATGTTAATCATCGAATTGGTCGAGTTTTATAACACTACTCGTTTCAATAAGGGCCGATCGAGGAGTACTCGGATTCTGTAACTCGCCTCAATAAGGGGCCGAGCAGGGAATACATGAAACTGAGTAATCGGCCAATTCGACGAGTTTTACAACACTGCCTACTATAGCCGGTGATAGAATGGTGTTTTTTGAAATGATAACTTTAATGATTATATATGTGCAAATATTATAATTTGTTGTATTTTTTATACTAAACAAAATTCAATAATATTTTTTGTATGCTTTTTGAAATTTTGTTACCTTCAAAGTAAAAGTAGTGCAATTTTTATCTCAACTTCCCCTTGTAATCGCCACCTTTTAGAGAAGGGTGTTTTTTTGAAATGATAACTTTAATGATTATATACGTACAAATATTATAATTTGTTGTATTTTTTATACAAAACAAAATTCAATAATATTTTTATGTACTTTTTGAAATTTTGTTACCTTCAAAGTAAAAGTAGTGCAATTTTTATCTCAACATCCCCTTGTAATCGCCACCTTCTACTATTTCAGTATTTCTTCATCTTGTAGTAATTATCTTTTTTTTTTCCCGACACCAACTAAATAAAAATTGCACTACTTTTACTTTGTAATTCATTTTCCTTACACAAAGTTGCAATAAATCCATGTATGCACAACGGTTGCTAGGTAAATTAATTTACTCTAATAAATGAAGGTTTTTTTTGCCACATGTCCTCTTCTCCTTTATTTGGACACATGACATTTTCTAGAAATTTTAAATTTTCTATTTTCCACTTGTCATTTTATTGTATTTTTCATTTTATTAAATTATAATTTCATATTTAATATGTAAGGTAATATATATGTAAAGTATTTATTAGAAATAGTTTATATATGTAATGTATTCAATACATTAAAGCCTTACTAATTTTAATAATTTAAAATTTTTCTCATTTTTCTTATAAATTCAAACTTTTTCAAATTGTTAAAATTTCATATTTAATTTTTTTAATTAAACCCATGTAATACATGGGTCTCACACCTAGTACAATATATAACCACTTCCAATAACTTGCTATAGCTATTTATTTATTTTTAAAAAAGGACATTCTCACTTAAAGCATGCTTCCTGGTTCACCACTATTATTATAACATGCTATATTTATAATAACAATCATTAATAATACACATCGTGTAATTTTAATTAACAAACCTAAAAGTAGCAACCATGATGCAACAAAAACAACTCGAACAGAAAAAGAGTTCCAGTACATCTTAAAGTATCACTAAATTTACTAATTTTGGACATGTAACTTAAAATAGACGAGATACACAAATCATTCAAGGGATGTACAACTTCAAATGATAAAAAGAAGAGTTCAAAAATAAACCTATTAAACACTTGTCATGTTTTCAATACTAAAAGACATAAAGCAATGTCACCACCGATGGAACCGTTATCTTCTTAGGTTATGTGTTATGTGCATTTTTCATCGCATCTTTCATTTTCACTTTCACGTCATCTTCACCTATATTTTAACACAATAAAAGAAAATAAAATAAAGGGGGAAGTTATGGGGTTGGATTCGCAGCATGGTCGCCCTGTGAGGGGTCGGGCAACCCGATACAGTGTTCTCATGTGGGGACACGAGTGCTAGGTATACACATTGTGTGTAGGGTGAGTATAATACATGGCCTTACTATGTGCGTTTTTGGCGAGCTATTAGAAACTTGAAAATTTAGCTTTCCTTAAAAAAAATATAAATTTACATAAAAAACTTTGTTTAAGAGTATAAACTTAAACTTTTATTTAATAATAAAAAACTCATAATCCAAAAGTCAAAGTTGTGTTTAAAGAAAAATTCATGTCTATTATAGCAAAATTATTATCTTGCCTTATGTTTTGATTTTGAGAGTTTATTCGAATGTCATTTTATTTAATTTTATATCTTTTCAGAAGCTTACAACTATTTTTATCAAACACTTATATACAACTTAACGCAACTTTCAATTTCTAGCTCTAGCTCTATCAAACACTTATATACAACTTCAACTCCAAATAAAAGTTACACTTTCAATTTCTAGCTCTAGCTTCAGCTTCCAGCTACAAACTACCCGTTATTGTTTTTGTCAACATACCCTATGTACCCTCCCCACTCCTACTATAAATATAGCATGCTAACTCGATCTAATATATACTATCTACACCAATACAATACAAGTGTTGTATTAAAGATCAGAAATGAAAGGAGTTGTGATAGTCATGTTGGCAATGTTAGCCATGGTTCAGTTCTTGGTGCAACCAAGTGAAGCTCTTTCTTGTACTGATGTTGATCTTCTGCTTGGACCATGTCTAAACTACCTGAAGTTTGGTGGAACACCACCTCAAGATTGCTGCAAAGGGTTGGAGAGGCTTGAGGCTACGGTCACTACTCAGGTTGATAGACAAGCGGCTTGCAATTGTTGTAAAATTGCTGCAAGAACATTTCAGATTAGGGAGGATACTGCTTCTAAACTCCCTGACATATGTGGGGTCAAAATTAGCATCCATATAGATCCCAATGTCGATTGTTCCACGTGAGTGCATGGCTTTAATTGGATATGCAGTAAATAATAATAATTAAACTAAGATTTTGTGTTACTAACTTATTATATCTTGTGATGTATGTTATTTTCTTCTACTAAATTTCTTCTTTTATGGCGCAGAGTTTCTTTATATCAGAGTTACAAGTGAAGTCGGTGGAAGATATTATCCGTTTGAATAAAGACGTGGTTGTTAGTTGTTACTGTTTTCTACAAACTATGCATGTTGTAGAAGATCTATTATCGTATACGTATGTGTTATGGTTGTGACATGTTCACGATGTGTGTGGACTTGAGATGGATAATAAATTATAAGATAAAATGTTATTATCGAATGTTATGTGTAATTAAACTTTTCCAAACGCATGGAAAGTTAAACGGAGTTAAATAATAGCAAAAAAGAAGAGCAATATTATATTTTGGAAAAACAGTATGGTCCACATGTGTATGTGATCATTGGGTGGAAAATTTTAAGTTGAAGTTATAAAAGATCAAATTTTCTTTTGATATTACAAATCTATTTTTTATTAGTGAACACTTTTTTTTGGGTAGAATATTTTGAGCTAAAGTAGGTAATAACGGATTTTATAGATAAAGTATTGATAATAGTTCAAACGAGATGTGGATGCTTCATTACTCCAGAAAAAGTACGGATGATAGGCATTTAATCGGGTCGATTTTTAATAGGGGTGTAATCCAGTCGAACTGATATAATGATATACACGAGCTAAACTTGAATAAAAAACTCAAAGCACAAAACTTGTTCAGAGCTCTAGTTCTAGCTTATTGAAATAAACCACACATTTTCGAGTAATCGAATTCTAGTTCTAGTTTGTTGTGTTGGATACAAGGCTACACACAATCAATATACACTCTAATACACTCTGATATGGAGCAATTTTTCTGGTTTTATTTGTACCACAAAATAGGTTACATGTTGTATAAAATGGAAGGCTACGTACATCTATGATCTATCAAACCTTATACCAAAAAAAAAACTTAATAGTAGCTAACATATTGCCCACGATATTGTGCTAAAATGTAGCCACTCACTTTTATTTTCCATAAAACTCGCTCAACACAAGAACAAGTTTAATCTTCCCAACTCATAAACAAAAAGATTAACCAACAATCACCCCCTTAATCGGTTTGTTCACACCCTTCACTCACAACAACGTTTAATTACTTTCTTTTGGAACCATCTCGATTCTCGACTTTTTCCGGACACCCGACCTTCACCTCGGTCACGTCCAATGTCTTCACCCAATCCTGACTTTTCCCGGACACCCGACCTTCACCTTGGTCACGTCCAAAGTCCTCCACACGACTGTTGTTTGTCACCACACAGAATCCGTTTTCACCGAACACTTCTGTGAAACGAGAACCTTCTTCCATCCATCAAGAAAACAAAGCAATCCGTTTTTCCCGTCTTCTTTCACCTGCAAAAAGAAACAAACCCAAAGCCACCTGCTTTGACGGATCTTTTTTGTTCGTTTTCTCATGCATCTCTGGTAAATCTCTCCATTTTCCGGTGACCTACCCACAACCTACCGCTGGAAGCACCACCTTGTCGGACACCACAAAAACAAAAGGCAATCGGAAAAGAAACCCACCAACTGAACCACCAGCTGCCATTAACCAGTGACGAACACCAACACCTTCATAGCCTTTGTTTACCTTCGACCCACCGACTGCTTCACCTGCATACCTCGTCGACACCAACTGCTAAGACCAGTTGTGATCAACCCACTACCGATGATCCATATGATGGTTTATAGACCTTTTGATTACTTTACTTTATGCAGAAAAATGAAAAGAAGATGGAAAGCTTGCTTGTTTCGTGTGTGTGCAGTGGAAGAGAGAACAAACTGCCAAAAGATCAGACTTTAAATTACATGCTTCTTCGAGAGTTACATGACACAAAAAGAAAAAAACATTAAATAGATATCTAACTTTTGGACTATTGCAACTACTTCAACAAAAAATACACATAAATGTAAAATGGCTTTGCAGCCTTAATTAAGACAATACAAAGGTCAAACTAGAGTAGAGTAGGTATAATAAGAAATGGACGGCCCAAGGAGAATACGTACTTTGCCACATGCTGCTTCTTTTTGCTTTATAATAAACATTATGGATTATAATAATATTTTCTCTCTTAATCCATAATTTTTATTTGCTTCACTCCTAACAAGTTACTCCTAACAAGTTACGCATTTCTTCAAACTTCTTGCTTGCCATGGATTTTGTCAGAATATTTGCCTTCTGCTCCTTGCTGCTCACATGCATGACTTTTATATCTCCATTCTCAACACACTCACGTATGAAATGAAACCTTGTGTCTATGTGTTTGCTTCTCCCATGAAACACTGAGTTTTTTTTTATCAGATCTATGGCTAACTTGTTGTCAACATGCAACACCACTGGACTAATTTTCTTTCCTGTTAGCTCACTAAGTAACCGACGCATCCAAATCCCTTGGCACGTTGCACTTGTCGCTGCCATGAATTCTACTTCGCATGAGGAAAGAGCTACACTCCTCTGTTTTTGCAACGCCCAAGTAACCATATTTTCATTAAGACAAAATGTCATTCCTGATGTGCTGCGCCTGTCATTTACGTCCCTTGCAAGATCTCTATCAGTGTACCCGGTTATAATGTCTTCTCCACTCCCCCTGGTGTACATTAAGCCATAGTCAATAGTTCCTTTGATATATCTCAGAATATGTTTCACTGCTTGTAAATGCTTGACTGTGGGTCTCTCCATGAATCGACTTACAATCCCGACAACATAAGAGATGTCAGGTCGAGTGTGTGTGAGATATCTCTGACCTCCAATGATGCTTCTATACTCCGTGGGATTTACTGGGTCTCCCTCTTCATCTTTCGTTAACTCTAACTTGGGTTCCATTGGGTATTTACATGAGTTGCACTCAGCCGTGCCAGCCTTTTCTAGGATATTTTTCGCATAAGCTGTTTGCTTTATAATGATACCATCTTTTTGTTGACCCACTTCAATACCCAAATAGTATGACAATAAGCCAAGGTCACTCATTTCAAACTCCTATTGCATTTGTTCCTTGAAGAGCTTCACCTCATTACTACAATTTCCTATAACAATAAGATCATCAACATACACCCCAACTATTAAGAGCTTATCATTCCTTTTTCTTGTGTAAACTGCATATTGTTGTGGGTATCTCGTAAATCCCAAAATTTTCAGACATTTGTCCATACGGGAGTTCCAAGCTCTAGGAGCTTGACAAAGCCCATACAAAGCTTTTGAAAGCTTATAAACTTTTCCTGGTTCATTATGGTTCACAAACCCCTCCGGTTGCGTTACATAATATAACGCCCGTAGATCCGGGCTAGTCAATTTAGAAATAATAGGTGTTGAAAACGACTTTTCGACAAAAGATTATTTAGAATAAATAATCTTAACCGAGTTGTATATTATGTCTCAAGGGTTCCGTACATATAAAGAACGCCAAAATCCGAGTTATAACGAAGAAGTTATGGCCCGTCGAAGTTTTTCGGCAAAACCGACACGGCACCGGGAGACGTAAATAGTGAATTTACGTTAGAGGACTTTTTAGCCTTAGCGATCTAAATAAAAGTCGTAGAATAGGTTAAACCGAGAGCATGCATGAAAATAACGCCCAAATCTGACTTCGTATGAGGAAGTTATGAATTTTCTAAGATTTGGCTTAACAGTGCACGCCCCGAAACTCGAATTTTAGTTCGAGCAATTTTTGGCTTACGCGACCTAAATGAGAGTTAAAGATATCATTAATAGGAACTCAACGATAAAAAGATAGACGGAAACGGAGTTTGTATGAAGAAGTTACAAATTTTACGCAGACATTTAACAGTGTAATCTTCTCATACTATTAAATTTAAAATCGGTCGAGAATTGGCCGATGGAGTCAAAAGGAAAGTTGTAGATCTTGTCTTTACCTACGCGTGGATATAAAGAACGTCAAAAACGGAGTTCTTATGCAAAAGTTATGAATTTTTAAAGATTTGCTGTTTTACCTGCGTCCGCCGCCACGTGTCAGCACCAGACTTCGCCTTAGAGCCTACGCAAGGCTCACGACGTGAGCACCCTTTCTCACGACATGAATCGGCCCAGACAGCCTATAAATAGAGGCATAAATCACCCCCAAAACTCATATCTTTCATACTCTTTCTCTCCCATTACCCCCAAACCCTCTTCCCCCTTCCCTAGCACCTCCTAGGTGTTAGAGGCGAGTCCCGGAGCCCCGGAAGGCTCCGAGAAGAAGAGCTTTCGGCTTGGAAGTTCTACCCCTGCAGAGCCCGACTCCTAGCCAAACCCCTAGTAAGAGAGATATGCTTACCCTACCTTAAGTATAACTTATGTTTAAATATAGTAATGTTATTAGAACCTTATAATAAATATATGGGATATTATTATGAGTTATATAAGAGTGTTACTTAATGCTTATATAATAGTAATAATAGCTAGACTATTAATTAGTCGCAGTTAACGTTAGACTAAACCCTAGTGGTATTGATACTAGGTTTTGTCAAGGGAAAATTATTTTGAGATAACGAAGTGCTGTCCGAGTACCGAGTCACCACCTTACCAGGTGAGTGCATAGTTACTTTCATCTTACACATAAATATGAAGTATTTAATATAAATTACATGCTATGCATGAATCTTATCTATATACTTGTTATCTATGCTGGATGAACAATTTTATACATGTTTTAAATGATTTAAACTGTATATATATATTTTATATCTACAAAATATGTTGGGTAAACATGGGTAGATGAGATATGAGTCGGATGATGAGGTGAGAGGTGAAATAGACCATGAGGTGAGGGTGAGAGGTGGACAATGTGAAAAGCCTTTTACCCAAATGTTGGCCCCGTCATCTAGCAGAGTATGGATGACAACCACAGACTATTCTAGACAGTCCAGTGGAACACTAGCAGGCTCGCAACCTGTAGGTGTTGTGAACGATGTGTTCACCCGGTGTATTCTAAACCCTGGCGACCATGCAGACTTGGTGCCTAAACCTTGGCGATCATCCAGACTTGGTGCCTAAACCTTGGCGATCATGCAGACTTGGTGCCTAAACCTTGGCGATCATGTAGACTTGGTGCCTAAACCCTGACAACTA